TCTCGAAGTAAGTTATGAGATGTACTTTTACGGACAGGGTGAAATGGAACGCCCATCGGGTGTTGTTTAAAGGCTTCTGAAAGAAGTCTTAATTCTGTAGCAGCGCTAAACCTGCATGACAAGGCTTCAAGTTCCAAGTAACCTGTACTTTTTCCTGCTGTGGCATATGTTATTGTGTTTCTCGGTCTTCTGTATGATGTGGACGGCAGGCGGAACCTGTAACCATTCTAACATTACAGTGGCACAAAGCGAACATAGGGCGAGGACGATATTATCTCCCAAATTTAACTTAGTGTAGATTTACAAAATGACAATGGCATGCATTCGGAAAACAATTACATAATGTTAAAACAAAACCTTTAGTTCTAAATTATTCTAAGAAAGTAATATAACCACAGGTGGATCTTCTTCCTACACCTACGTAACATTTCGGAATAGGCAATTGAATGTTATTGAAAATATATTGCTCAGATAAATTTACCGTGTGTTTCCCAAATCTGAAAAGCAAATTCGGAGTTTCAGAGTTATGAAGGCTCTTAGGCAATTGTTTCAGATTGAACACACATAACACACATACGGTACACATATACGGGAACTGTATTTATACGACAAACAAACACGTGCCTTAACCGATATCGTTGAATTCTGCTGTTTCCCAATTATCATTAGATTCAAAGTATAATGACTTTTATTGGAATTAGGCATTTCGCTCGTTGAAGTGACACTATTTGAGCGGTTACCGAAACAGGTCTTTGAATGGCACATAGACGTAATACACATAATGGAGAGAGTTTTATGGATGTCAGCTTCTTTATTATGAGGTACACAACGGTTCGGAGTATGCTGCTGATGATTATGATTTGGAGATTTAACGTGCGCTTGTGGACATAATGCACACGGGCCAGCCAAGCCATTTAGTGTTTGAGCGAAAGATAGGGGCGGGGAGACTATGGGGTGGTTTGGTTGGTTAAATTTTGTTAGAGCGCTTGTAGTGTAAAGTGTATGTTAGTGTCTAATGAACTCTGGAGCACCATTCTGTGTTGTTTGTTCTCACGTGCACATGTATACACTCTCTTCTAAACTCAAACTCGAAATATTGAAAAGTGTGTTTCTCTACCGTTTACTTTCTTGTAAATCACGAAGAACATGACAACCATGATGGTGAGAATTACGACGAGGACGGTGCAGCAAGTCACTATAATCAGTAGTGTTGGACTTGATTCTGAAAAGGTAGAAAGAGCATACATCAGATTAAGTACACTGTGAGGGAAGCAGCTGGTGGTACTGTTATGCTTAATGTTTCTGAGTACAAATTCAACAAGCCGTAGAGAAAGAATTATGTGAAATCATGTCTTAAAAGTGGTATACCCAAGACAACAGCAGAAGTTAACACTCTGTCTGTTGGGATATTTAGACTGACTGAGTTTGGTTTTACGCCGCTTTTAGCAATATTCCAGCAACATCACGGCGGGGGACACCAGAAATGGGCTTCACACATTGTACCCATGTGGGGATTCGAACCCGGGTCTATGGGGTGACGAGCCAATGCTTTAACCACTAGGCTACCCCACCGCCCCTGGGATATTTAGAACTTAAGAAGAATAGCTGTAAGCTGTGTCGGCCTAACGAGCGGACCTATACATCGTGATAGGCCGACACAGCTTACAGCTATTCTTCTTAAGTTCTAAATATCCCAGGGGCGGTGGGGTAGCCTAGTGGTTGAAGCGTTCGCTCGTCACGCCGAAGAAGCGGGTTCGATTCTCCACATGGAAACAATGTGTGAAGCCCATTTCTGATGTCCCCGCCGTGATATTGCTGGAATATTGCTGACAGTGGCTTAAAACTAAACTCACCCACTCACTCACTCACATGTATACATGAAATGGTGACTTTTCCGACTACCAGGTAACTGCTGGGTGGGAAGCAGTGTGAATCTGCTACGCCATCAGCAGCGTGCAGCTACTACGTAGTCCGCAGTGGCTACTCTACCAGTATGGAGACTGGTTTGTAAGGACAGCGTGTCCTATGTCAATAGGGATAATGCCACAGATATGTGTATTGATATAAAAAGCAGATTACTCAAGAAACAAGCCTTGTCCAAGTTACATACATTTAAAGACTTAATCTGTCATAGTCAACTTCAAGTAAGGGGAATACCATAGACGTCTATAATATCCTATTCCAATACCAGGAATGAATGCCTTGGTTAAATTGTAGTACAGCTGGAATTCCTTACTGATAACTTTGTAGCAAGCTGTTTCTGAAATGAAGTCAATGTTGTTGCTGACGTTACACGTGACACATTCAGTGCCTCCTATGACGCTGTGGAAAGTCAGCGCTGATTGGTTGCGGCTTAAAGTGATTCCTCTCCCTAGAGAACAAATTACAACATTGTAAAACGAAGTCAATGTTTCATGCAGGAAATTGATGCACAAGCTCACAATGTAACTCAATACCGGAACTGTGCACCATATGCTATTGTCTGGGACCACACCCGAAATATAATTATTTATAACACTGCGCGTGTTGACATTGTTCAAATGGCTGCCGTATCAACGCAATAATATGCTTTCCGTTATAATTTATACAGCCGGGGTATGTCCATGCCCGTATGAGCCTTCAACGTACAGTCAAACATTATAATGTCGAAGTTAAAGTGATCGACGTATATGCTGCGATATATCCGTCCTTCGACACAACCAAAGAATGGCTTTTATCTTTAGATAAACAGGATGTTCCACTCATCAAAGTTCGACACAAATGTGTTTGACTGTATTTTAACATGTTTGATCAGACCCGTGAAGATCCATGTTAGAATTGGTCTTCACCATGCTTGTCGTAACAGCAACTAACGGGATCTGGTCTGGTCCAGACTCGACTATTTACAGACCGCCGCCATATATCTGGGATATTGCTGAGTGCGGCGTTTAACAACCAACCAACCACTCCTTTAAGTCACTAACTCACTGGCCGGTTCTAAGTCATGACTCCATTGGATGACAAGTGGGGATGAGGGGCCGATGGCTCTAGC